GACTTGACCAGAGCTCAAACCGGGATCTCTTGGCTTTGAGTCAGAAGCGATACCGAATGAGCAACTTCTATCTACATGGACGTACAACAGGCATTAACTTCACGCGACGTGCAAGTGCCACATTTAACTGTTTTTTTCACCGTTGGCGAAAATCACAATTCATTCAAGATTTTAAATAAATAATGAAAACTAGTCTATTAAAAACATAATAAACAAGATTAAATATAACTCGTACCTCATATCAGTAAAGAAGTAAATAATGAAACAAATAGACTAAACGTATAACCACATCGTTCAATACATAATAAGAAACAATCGCATCATATACAAAAATTGAACCTACTACTCGACTACTGATTTTCGATAAATTAGAAAAATTTCTTTGTCGTTACAAGAAATTAAGTCTTTCAAATATGATTTGAGGTTATTTTCATCTCCAATCAGTTCTGGGTGAGACAATTTGGAATCGAGGTTGTAAAATACGTCTCCGATCTTCGCCAGTGCAATCTACAATACTTATTTTTCAAAGCTACATTCAAAGCGATCTTTTTATCAGCGTTAAATATAACAAAGGCAGAAAGGACGGCCTTCAAAGCAGCCTTCACACGAAACTTGGAAAAATTAACCATGTACCGATTACAAACTGCTGAAACCAGTCTAGTAGACAATATAACAACATAAGATTCAGTTGACTGATTCCCGTGTGTAATTAAAGGGGGATCACCATTGCTTAATTTCGATGCCCTTGCTCATCCTTTGAAATTTGTCGTCACAAGTTTCATACATCTTCGTCAGTTCCTCGTCAATCTGAGCAAGTGTTCGAATTAGGCGCCTGAAGATGCCTGGGTCGCAGTACCTTACCGCTGAAGTCCATCCATCAGTGGTGCGATGTAGCCGGGATTGATTCAGAGACAACCGTGTGAACGATTGTAGTCCATGGAATCCAGTTATTAAATCTTGACGTACATTAGTTATCTCTCAGACAAGCCACAGGAACGAACCATCTTGTCTTGGCGTCGTAGAAGACAGAAAGCAGGCCTGTCAAAATTGTGCCATCCGAAAGTAACCTCAGAGGGACATTTATCAAACAATCGCCCGTTGTGTGACAATCTGCCTGTTCTCCTCAGCTTTAACAGCAGACCAACATTCAATACAGTAGATTATGGCCAAAATGATGAGTGAATGAACAGTTCTTTCTTCGTCCGCATGTAAAGGAAGGAAAGGAAAGTCTGTAGCCATTGGAATGTCTGCCTTTCTTACAATCTCTCGATGAACAACTGGAGCAATAGATTTTACGAAATTAATGGCAGGGGGCGTTAATCTCCTGCATGCCATCAGTAAAGAGTGCCCATTTTTCTAATGTAGAGTTTGCATCAGGTACGTGGTACCAATACTGCATAGTCTTATTCTTTTCCATAAGGCGATACTCACCTATTAATCTTAGACGAAAAAAGGCTATTATTAAAATGGCTATTAACTGGTATATGAACCCAAGACATCTCAACATCTCGACCCTCTACCGACTGAGAGCAACCATACTCTGAAGCAACGCAATAAATTCCTTGCTCAAGGGAATTCGCGGTTAAGCCAAAAATTATAGTCAGCTGGAATCAAATTCAACCTGCCACCTCCGTAGTTCGTACCGACTATTACGCACCATGACATAAAGCCAACATGACAAATCACCATCGAGTAACCATGTTTTAATACGGTTAAGGCTTACCAATGCCGCATTTATTCTTCCCTCACACGGGAAGCAATTCTCAAACAACAGATTCTTTAGAAACGCGGTTGGACATGTTGAGCAATTCCGCTGATCGACTGTACCCTCATTATTAATCTTTTGGAAGACATCTTTCAGCATTACACTGTCCACCACAGCCTAGAATTAAAGAGGGGCGGGCGGCTCACATTGACGAACTCCACTCACTCCACAGGACAAAAAACATTAGTATAACTCTGACCACATTCAGCTTTAACTTTTTCCTCGAACCTCTTCCAGACTTTAACAACAAACATTTTTGCAACCAAAAAAAAAACAGAAAAAAATAGGCCAATAAAAGTTCATGCCTACCCAGTGCTTGCCAGTGAGAAACGGAACGGTGAACAGGAATCGCAATTTATTCGGAACGTTCAAAATAAGACCAACGACATCACTGAAATTCACTGTCGATATGTCCCTACAAGGAAAAGTCTTCTATAAAACAAGTATAAAAATATAGGCAGACAATGTTACGCTGAAATGAAGTCATTAAAAATTTATTATTTTATTTTCAATGACAGCTGTTCCCTGCAGGATTTCCCGCTTTTTTCTAATAGTCAGGTACATTTACGGATTGACAACTAAACGATGATAATACCAAGCCCTCTATGTAAGCCGGCCATTTACTTACAAATCTGCACCCAGGTCTTCTATTCAGATTTGCTACTTCATTTACGAGTTTCTGCTCGTGGAATCCTCGCCTGTACAGTCTATCGCTGTTGTGATCTCTCGACTTGGTTAACGGGAGACTTCCAAGATGAGATTTTGAATCCCCCAAGAACAACCCATTACACAAACGTTAAAACGCACTTTCTCTTGTCAAACCACGTCGCTTCGCAACCGACCGATTCCAGCGCAGCTTGGAGGACGTTAACATCGTAATTTCCGAGCCCTAGCGTACTTCGATGAGGGTTCAAGAAATACCTAGTTGGTGTGAGCCTAAAAATCAGATCTAGAAAACCACACATGTGGTTTCTGATTCACAAACCTCTCCGAAATTTCGTCGAGGCACCTTTTAGAAAACAACCGTTCCTGAAAAAGGTTGTTCAGCGTATGCACGGCGCAGAACTGAAAATGTTGCTTCTCGTGATATATTTTCGATTCGCTCTCCTGATCCACGTTGCCGTTCACTAAACGTAACCGTAACCATTGTTTACTATGAAATACGGGAAGCGGATAAGTT